CCTTACCTTCCCGTTACTAAGAAAACGTACGGGAATAGACTGCAAAAGTCCTAAAAAAGCCCCCAATCCCGCAAAATCCCTAACAGATCCTTCCAAGGATCTCCAACATTGTCGTATTCCCTGCCGAGCTTCCAGGCCTCACACCCCCCATCCTGCTGGGTTACAGGGCAACACAACTCACCCCAGCTCCGGCCTGCGTCGTCTTAGCAACAACCCTTGGTTGTCCCGTGGGATGCCCCCCCAAAGCACCCCCAGATCTCTCTACCAGGCCTCATGCCCCTGCATCAACAGGTTACAGGGCAACACCCCAACACCGACCAGCGTCGTTCTGGCGTCGAACAACCTTAGGTCACCAAGTATTACAGCCTTGAAACTACCTAGAAGAGATTGCCAGGAAACCCCAGGATCCAGAAGACTTTTTAAGGACAGAACAGACTACCCCCTTTTTTTTTAGAATTGAATTTAACTACGTAAAAATTCGTAATTGAAAACATAAAAAAGGCCTGGCGGGTCCTACAAATGCTCAGAAACCCTTGGAATCCCTAACGCTCCTTCCGAGGCCTTTCAACACTGTCCTACTCCCTGCCGAGCTCTTCCAGGTCTCACACCCCACGTCCTGCTAGGTTACAGGGTGACACAACTCACCCCAGCTCCGACCAGCGTCGTCCCAGTAGCAACCCTTAGTTGTTCCATAGGATGCCCACCCCTAATCATCCCCAAATCTCTCTACCAGGCCTCATGCTCCTGCATCGCAGGTCACAGGGTAACACCCCAGCTCCGGCCAACGTCGTTCTGGCATCGAGCAGCCACAGGTCCCTGAGTATAACAGCATCAAAAACCACCTGAGAAAAGTTGCTAGGGATCCCGAGAGCCCAAAAGCATTCTTAAGACCCCCCAACAGCCATCTGTAAAAAGAAAAAAAGAAGGGGGGAGAAGTCAAAACGAAATACCAACCATCCTACTCTGATTAGTAGGCGCCCTTAATCGTGTGAGTAACTGTAATTTTGGGCGGGCGTCATTGTAACTGTATCTTTCTTCTTGCACTTCGTCTTTCCCGCCCTCCTTCTCTTTCTTTTGCTGCGCTTTTGGTAGCCGCGGACAGCATGATCGGATCGATGCGTGCAGAGTGGCTACGTCCCCCATGCCGCGATCAGACCATGCAGACGTAGGCAATTTCCTCCCCCTTCCCTTCTTCTAAGTCCTTGTAATTCCGTGTTCTTCGCGCATGCATGCACACTATAAATTCTGGCTGCGCGATTAGTTAACTCTCTTAACCAGTTGTTGGAAGCTCGGGTTTGCGCGATCAGGAAGGGTCGGCACACGAGCGAAGTAAGAGGTGAGTAGAGCAGGAGTCGGGCGACCCGACGAGCTGGTGCCAAACGCACGGGGTTGACGCGGGCCACGACGGACTGTGGGCGCGGGCGAACCTGACGGGTGCGGGAGGACTAAGCG